AACAAAAAATCCCATCAAAGAGTGGGCTAAGGACCTGAATAGACAATTCCCAAAAGAAAATATATGAATGGCCAATAAACACGAAAAAAATGCTCAACATTGGCAGGGTGTGGTGGCTCACGCCTATAATCCCAGCACTTTGAGAGGCTGAGGCAGGCGGATCACTAGGTCAGGAGTTGAGACCAGCCTGGCTGATATGATGAAACCCCGACTCTACGAAAAATACTAAAAATTAGCTGGGTGTGGCAGCGTGTGCCTGTAGTCCCAGCTACTCTGGGGAGGCTGAGGCAGGAGAATCACTTGAACCCAGGAGGTGGAGCTAGCAGTGAGCTGAGATTGTGCCACTGCACTCCAGCCTGGGCGACAGAGCAAGACTTCGTCTCAAAAACGGAAAAAAAAGTGCTCAATATCACAAATTATCAGGGAAATGCAAATCAAAACCACAGTGCAATACCACCTTACTCCTGCAAGAATGGCCATAATTTAAAAATAAAGAAAATAATAGATGTTGGTGTGGATGTAGTGAAAAGGAACATTCTTACACTGCTGGTGGGAATGTAAAGTAGTACAACCGCTATGGAAATGGTATGGAGAATCCTTTAAGAACTAAAGATAGGGCTTTGTGCAGTGGCTCATGCCTGTAATCTCAGCACTTTGGGAGGCCGAGGTGGGTGGATCACCTGAGGTCAGGAGTTCAAGACCAGCCTGGCCAACATGGTGAACCCCCATCTTTTAAAAATAAAAAAATTTTTTTAAAAAAGAACTAAAGGTAGAACTACCATTTGATAAAGCAATCCCACTACTAGATTTCTACCCAAAGGAAAATAAGTCATTACATGAAACAAACTTACCCACGCATGTGCATAGCAACACAATTTAAAATTGCAAAAATATGAAACCAGCTTAAATGTCTGTCAGTCAATGAGTGGAAAAAGAAAATGTGGTGTATATGATCCTGTGGAACACTACTCAGCCATAAAAAGGAATTAAATAATGGCATTTGCAGCAACCTGGATGGAATTGATGACCATTATTCCTTTTTTTTAAAAGATGAGGTTTCGCCATGATGGCTAGGCTGGTCTTGAACTCCTGACCTCAGGTGATCCACCCAACTCGGCCTCCCAAAGTGCTAGGATTACAGGTGTGAGCCACCGCACCAGGCCATGACCATTATTCTAAAGTGAAGTAACTCAATGGAAAACCAAACATTTTATGTTGTCCCTTATAAGTGGGAGCTAGGCTATAAAAAGACAAAGGCATAAGAATGATATAATGGACTTTGGGGACTCAGAGGGATAGGTGGGAGTGGGGTGAGGAATAAAAGACTACATATTGGGTATAGTGTACACTGTGGCAGTGATAAGTGTACCAAAATCTCAGAAATCACAACTAAAGAACTTCTCCATGCGACCAAACACTACCTGTTCCCCCAAAACTATTGAAATTATATAAAAGGACAGCATGAGGCAAACTCCCCTTTCTTGTTTTTTCTGTTTTGTTTTGTTTTGGTTTTCGTTTTTTTTTTTTTTTTTGAGACAGAGTCTTGCTCTTGTCACCCAGACTGGAGTGCAATGGCACAATCTCAGCTCACTACAACCTCTGCCTCCCAGGTTTAAGCGATTCTCCTGCCTCAGCCTTCTGAATAGCTGGGATTGCAGGTGCCCGCCACCACACTTGGCTAATTTTTGTATTTTTAGAAGAGATGGGATTTCACCATGTTGGCCAGGCTGGTCTTGAACTCCTGACCTCAGGTGATCCACCCGCCTTGGCCACCCACAGTGCTGGGATTACAGGCATGAGCTACTGAGCCTGGCCTGCAAAATATACTTTCTAAATTGATTGAGACCTGTCTCAGATGTGTTTGGGTTCACACTCTGTTTTCAACATCTTACATAATAGAATTGTTTCTTCTAGAGCTAGTACTTTTAATTACATATAGCTAATTACAATTTTAACCCAGATTTTTCCAGTAACCATGTTAGTTGGCTTGTAAAAGAAAAACAAAAGCAAAGGGACAAAAAAAGAAAAACCTCAGAAGTAATTTGAGATGGGTTTTTATATGAGTTCTTATGATGAAAATAATGTTTAGAAAGCTGTTTCCACATTTTTTTTGTTTCTTAACAGAACTAAATATTTAGTTTTTCTGTATCATATAAATGACTCAGACATTTTGTGATTAGCTATTACCCAATTTGACAAAACAAAATAATTATGACTTTAAGATTAAGTCATTGAGGGTGGATACAGTGGCTCATGCCTATAATCCCAGTGCTTTGGGAGGCCCAGGCAGGCGAATCACAAGGTCAGGAGTTTGAGGCCAGCCTTACCAACATGGCAAAACCCAGTCTCTACTAAAAATACAAAAATTATCCAGGTGTGGTGGCAGGCACCTGTAATCCCAGCTACTCGAAAGGCTGAGGCAGGAGAATCGCTTAAACCTGGGAGGCAGAGGTTGTAGGGAGTCGAGATTGTGCCATTGCACTCCAGCCTGGACGACTAAAGCAAGACTCGATCTCAAAAAAAAAAAAAAAAAAAAAAAAAGATTAAGCTATTGAAAAAGATGTTTTTATTTTATTTTTTTAAGACGGGGTTTCATCATATTGGTCAGGCTGGTCTCCAACTCCTAACCTCAGGTGATCCGCCCGCCTCAGCCTCCCAAAGTGCTGGGATTACAGACGTGAGCCACCACGCCCGGCGAAAAAGATGTTTTTAAACAATGTAAAGCTCATTTACAAACTTTTACTTACTCTCTTTTGCAAGTAAATTTTATGGTAAATAATTAAAAACATAAACAAAAAGTAAATAAAGTTTTATTTATCTATTTATTTATTTATTTAGAGACGGAGTTTCGCTGTTGTTACCCAGACTGTAGTGCAATGGCGCGAGCTCGGCTCACCGCAACCTCCGCCTTCTGGGTTCAAGCAATTCTCCTGCCTCAGCCTCCCGAGTAGCTGGGACTAGAGGCGCGCACCACCATGCCCAGCTAATTTTTGTATTTTTAGTAGAGACGGGGTTTCACCTTGTTGACCAGGATGGTTTCGATCTCTTGACCTCGTGATCCACCCGCCTCGGCCTCCCAAAGTGCTGGGATTATGGGCGTGAGCCACCACGCCTGGCTCTTTTTTTTTTAAAGACAGGGTTTCACCATGTTGGCGAGGCTGACCTTGAACTCCTGACCTCAGGTGATCCACCCGCCCTGGCCTCCCAAAGTGCTGAGATTACAGGCGTGAGCCACCACCCCCGGCCAAGTTTTATTTATTCTTAGGAATTATGCTTGAGTAGTTTATTAAACAAAGTTAGCTACTGAAACTGCCTTTGCAAGGCCGGGCACAGTGTCTCACGCCTGTAATCTCAGCACTTTGGGAGGCCCAGGCGGGTGGATAACCTGAGGTCAGGAGTTAAGAGATCAGTCTGGCCAACACGATGAAACCCTGTCTCTACTAAAAATACATAAAATTAGCCAGGCGTGGTGGTGGGTGCCTGTAATCTCTGGGGAGGCTGAGGCAGCAGAATTACTTGAACCCAGGAGGTGGAGGTTGCAGTGAGCTGAGATCGCGCCATTGCACTCCAGCCTGGGCAACAAGAGCAAGACTCCGTCTCAAATATTAAAAAATAAAATAAACTGCTTTTTCAAAATTATGACTGAGACAGTGAAAGAGATATAACTTAATGGACTCCATCTTGCTTCTAGGCTCCAAGCTGTCTTTGTTTAATCCATCTTGCCTGGGGACTATATGCCTCTGTAAGAGTAACATTGGCCACAGCCGGGAGCTGTGGCTCACGCCTATAATCACAGCACTTTGGGAGGTCGAGGCGGGTGGATCGCGAGGTCAAGAGATCAAGACCATCCTGGTCAACAAGGTGAAACCCCATCTCTACTAAAAATACAAAAATTAGCTGGGCATGGTGTCGTATGCCTGTAGTCCCAGCTACTCGGGAGGCTGAGGCGGGAGAACTGCTTGAACCCAGGAGGCGGAGGTTGCGGTGAGCCGAGATTGTGCCATTGCACTCCAGCCTGGGTAACAAGAGCGAAACTCCGTCTCAAAAAAAAAAAAAAAAAAAGAGTAACATTAGCCACAAGATGAGAAATTATGGTTTAGGAGGCATGCAGCTGGAAGCTACAAGATTCTTATCCTCCCTAAACTTCTCCTAAAGATCAGTGCTTGAGATATTTTGCAAACCCTGCACTTGATGGATCAGCTGGCTCCACCCAGATCGATTAAGGGGCTCATCTCATCTGTGGCCCTCACCCATGGACTGACTCAGTGCAAGAAAAGAAAACAGCTTCAGCTCTCTACATCCCTGACCTGACCAATCAGCACTCCTGGCTCACTAGCTTCTCACCAACTAAGCTACCCTTAATAATTCTGCTCCCTGCCGGGCGCGGTGCCTCACGCCTGTAATCCCAGCACTTTGGAAGGCAGAGGCGGGTGGATCACGAGGTCAAGAGATCGAGACCAGCCTGGCCAACACGTTGAAACCCCGTCTCTATTAAAAATACAAAAAAATTAGCCAGGCGTCCTGGCACGCGCCTGTGGTCCCAGCTACTCGGGAGGCTGAGGCGGAAGAATCGCTTGAACCCAGCAGGCGGAGGGTGCAGTGAGCTGAGATTGCGCCACTGCACTCCAGCCTGGTGACAGAGCAAGACTCCGTCTCAAAAAAAAAAAAAAAAAAATTCTGGGCCGCGTGCGGTGGTTCCCGCCTGTAATCCCAGCACTTTGGGAGGCCGAGGCGGGTGGATCACGTGGTCAAGAGATCGAGACCATCCTGGCCAACATGGTGAAACCCCGTCTCTACTAAATACAAAAAAAAATTAGCAGGGCATGGTGGCACATGCCTGTAATCCCAGCTACTTGGGAGGCTGATACAGGAGAATCGTTTGAACCCAGGAGGCGGAGGGTGCGGTGAGCCGAGATCGCGCCGTTGCACTGCAGCCTGGGTAACAAGAGCGAAACTCCGTCTCAAAAAAAAAAAAAAAAAAATTCTGCTCCCGCCGCGCGGACGGTGGCGCCTGAGCTGGGCTTCCTTTGCAAGTAATTTCCTGATATTGCCGAGGGAGCCACATTGGTCTCAGACCCCGTAGGTGGCGGTGGCGGCGGTGGCGGCGGCGGCTGCGCTCCTCCGCGCTCCCGCCGCGCCCTGGACCCAGCTGCGGTGCCGACGCCCGGCGGAGCGAGCCAAGTAGGAAATATGAGCGGCAGCAACTTGGATGGGAACGCTGAGTTTGATGAGCAGTTGCGAATGCAAGAATTGTACGGAGACAGCAAGGATGGTGACACCCAGACCCACGCCGGCGGAGAAACCGATTCTTTCCGGCATCCGACTGACACTCCCTACGAGTGGGACCTGGACAAGAAGGCTTGGTTCCCAAGATCACTGAGGATTTCGTTGCCTCGTATCAGGCCAATTATGGCTTCTCTAATGATGGCGCATCTAGTTCTACTGCATATGTTCAAGATGTCCATGCTAGGACTGCTGAGGAACCTTCACAAGAAAAAGCCTGGGAACCCACTGATCCCAGAAAGAAGGGAGGAAAAAGAAAGGCCGAGTCAGGATGGTTTCACGTTGAAGACAGAGGGAGAAATACAAATGTATATGTGTCTGGTTTGCCTTCAGGTATTACAGTGGATCAATTTATACAACTTATGTCCAAGGTCGGCATTATTATGAGAGACCCTTAGACAGAGAAATTTAAGGTCAAACTTTACAAAGATAATCCAGGAAATTCTTAAAGGAGACCGTCTTTGCTGTTATTTGAAGAGAGAATCTGTGAAACTTGCATTAAAAGTTTTGGATGAAGATGAAATTAGAGGCTACAAATTACACGTTGAGGTGGCAAAATTCTGTCTGCAGCGGGAGCAGATTTTTTTTTTTTTTTTTTTTTTTTTGAGACGGAGTCTTGCTCTGTCATCAGGGAGAATATGATGCCTTAAAGCAGAAGAAGAAGAAGTGCAAAGACTATAAAGAAGAAGCTGTCTGTGCAACAAAAGCAGCTGGATTGGAGACCTGAGAGGAGAGCTGGACCATCCTGGATGCACCATGAGCGAGTTGTCATCATCAAGAATATGTTTCGACTAGCCGGGCGGCCGCTTCCCGCCCCCGAACCTGAGCCGGCGCGAGCGGAGCGTAGCCGAGATCTGGCCGCCAGGGGAGCCGGCTGAGCGCGCGCTGAGCTTCCGACGTGGCCCGGAACACGCTGTCCTCGCGTTTCTGCCGGGTGGGCATAGACGAATTTGACGAGAACAAATTTGCGGACGAGTAGGAGGAGGCGGCGGCGGCGGAGCCAGGCCCGGACCCGAGCGAGGTGGAAGGGCTTCTGCGGCAAGGGACATACTTCAGGCATTCCAGGCAGGCTTGCGGAACTCTCCCGTCAACACCAAGAATCAAGCCGTGAAGGAAAGAGCCCAGGGTGTGGTGCTGAAAGTGCTCACAAACTTCAAGAGCAGCGAGATTGAGCAGGCTGTGCAGTCACTGGACAGAAACGGCGTTGACTTGTTAATGAAGTACATTTATAAAGGCTTTGAGACGCTCACAGAAAATAGCGCAGTGCTGCTCCAGTGGCATGAAAAGGCCTTAGCAGTAGGAAGACTAGGCTCCATTATAAGAGTTCTTACAGCAAGAAAGACTGTTTAAAAAATTAAAAGACTCATGTTACCTTGAGAAGAATTCTGGATGCCCAGGCTGGTGAAGAAGGGGTTGACAATGGACCATCTTCCTAGGAACTCCCAACTAAACTATTTCAGGACATGTATCTGCTGAAATGTATTTTATTTTCAAGGTGGAGGGAAAAATCGTCTGTTTCCTAAATCCTGTGCAGGATCTGATAGTCTATGCCATTGTCTGGGAGTACTGCAGAACTGACATTTTGTCTACGAGTGGAGGCTGGCACTGGTCAGCCGCACCTGTGTGCACTGGGGGAGGGATGGTTTGGGCAGGTGCAGATCCAAGGGCTGTGGTAAATGGGAGAGCTTGTGTTTTTGAAGTGGGAAATAACAACAGTTTGAACAGACATCCAGAGAAGGAGGACGCTCTTGGGCTCATTGTAAAGTGACTGCTGCATCAATAAAGCTTGATTAGCTTTGACTTATTATTAAAAAAAAAAAAGAATATGTTTCATCCTATGGATTTTGAGGATGATCCGTTGGTGCTGAATGAGATCAGAGAAGACCTTTGAGTAGAGTATGCAAAGTTTGGACAAATTAGGAAGCTCCTTCTCTTTGATGGACACCCAGATGGTGTGGCCTCTGTGTCCTTTCAGGTTCCAGAGGAAGCTGATTATTGTATTCATACTCTGGATGGAAGTGGCTGTCAAATCACTGCCCAGGCATGGTGGAGGAAACCTCAAGGGAAAGGCTAAGAGGATGGGAGGCTTTCCTCAATGCTCCTGAGGCCAGCAGAGGCCTTAGGCATTCAGATTTTGTGTTGGCTTCAGAAAGGGCTGGGCCTTCTACAGCAAGGCACTTTTTAGAGCACCCAGCACATCTAAAATGAATACTCAAGAAGCTGCAACTGGAATGGCATTTGAAGAACCTATAGATGAGAAGAAGTTTGCAAAGACAGAATATGGGGGGAAATTTGAAGAAGATGCTTCTGAAAACAATGCTAAAGAAGGAGGCCCAGAAAAAGAGGCCAAAGAAGGCTTTGAAGGCTGCTGCTCCCCAAAAGAGTCTGAAGAAGGCAATCCCGTAAGAGGATCTGAAGAGGGTAGTCCTAAAAATAAGTCAAAAAAGAAGACACTCAAAAATGACTGTGAAGAGAATGCCCTTGCAAAAGAATCTGAAGATGACCCCAAGAAGGAGTCTGAGGAGGAGGCTGGACCCAGAAAAGAGTCTGAAGAAGGTGACTCAGAGAATCTGAAGAAGACTGCTCTGAAAAACAGTCTGAAGATGGCTCCGAAAAGAATTTGAAGAAAATGATCTCAAGAAGGATTTGGACAAGAATGGCTCTGAAAACGAGCTTCCTGAAAATGTTCTTGACAAAGAGTTAGAAGAAAATGACTCTGAAAACTCCGAATTTGAAGATGACAGCTCTGAAAAAGTGTTAGATGAGGAAGGCTCTGAGAAAGAGTTCGAGGAAGATTGAGATGAAGAGGAAGAAGAGGAGGATACATATGAAAAAGAATTTGGTGATGAGTCCAATGAGAAAGGATGAAATCGCAGATGAAAAGGGAGCTGCTGATACAACGGAGTAAGAAGGTGATGTGGATGAAAAGCTGCTTGAAGAGTCAGACGACAAGGAAGATGAAGATGCAGATGGAAAGGAAGATGAAGATGCTGATGAAAAGTTGTTCAAAGATGATTTCAACGAGTTGTTTGATGAGGAGGAAGATTCTGATGAGAAGGTGTTTGATGATTCTGATGAGAGGGGACTTCGGGTGATTTTGGGAGTGTTGAAGAAGGGCCGCTATCCACTGGCAGCAGCTTTATTCTCAGTAGTGATGATGATGATGATCTTTAATCACTTAAACTTACTTCTTAGGGAGAGTCCTCCAGCTACATTTGCCTGTGCTTCAGGGTAATTACTAGTAGTGTTAAATGAATGTTTGCATAGTGGTTGGATGCCATCAGATTAATACACGGAAGTTTTTCATTGTTTCTGTACCTAATGGTTTTAAATATATGTTAATTGACTATTCAGTTATAATATCATGGTTATATTGCAAGTAAACTGGATACTGTTCTTTTGTCAGATGTGTTAAATGCATGCAGAATATATATATATATATTTTTTTTTTTTTTTTTTTTTTTTTTTTGAGACGGAGTTTTGCTCTTTTTACACAGGCCGGAGTGCAATGGCGGGATCTCGGCTCACCACAACCTCCACCTCCTGGATTCAGGCAATTCTGCTTCAGCCTCCTGAGTAGCTGGGATTACAGGCACGCACCACCATGCCCAGCTAATTTTTTGTATTTTTGTATTTTTAGTAGAGACGGGGTTTCACCATGTCAACCAGGATGGTCTCGATCTCTTGACCTCATGATCCGCCCGCCTCGGCCTCCCAAAGTGCTGGGATTACAGGCATGAGCCACTGCACCCGGCCCAAAATAATATTTTTTAAAGTATTGATTGAAGTTTGTGACATTCATCAATAAAAATAAGTTGTTAATATGCAGAAACTGAAAAAAAAAATTCTGCTCCCTGGCTGGGCTCAGTGGCTCACACCTGTAATCCCAGCACTGTTGGAGGCCATGGCAGGTGGATCATGAGGTCAGGAGTTCAAGAGCAGCCCGGCCAAGACGGCAAAACCCCATCTCTACTAAAATAAAAATTAGCTGGGTGGACTGGGCACGGTGGCTCACGCCTGTAATCCCAGCACTTTGGGAGGCTGAGGCAGGTTGATCACGAGGTCAAGAGATTGAGACCATCCTGGCCAACAAGGTGAAACCCTGTCTCTACTAAAAATACAAAAATTAGCTGGGCGTGACAGTATGCCTGTAGTCCCAGCTACTCGGGAGGCTGAGGCAGGAGAATGGCCTGAAACTGGGAGGCGGAGATTGCAGGGAGCTGAGATCATGCCATTGCATTCCAGTCTGGTGACAGAGCAAGACTCTATCTCAAAAAAAAAAAAAAAAAAAGTGTATATATATTAGACGGGCATTGTGGCAGGTGCTTATAATCCCAGCTACTTGGGAGGCTGAGGCAGAGAATTGCTTAAACCTGGGAGATGGAGGTTGCAGTGAGCTGAGATCATCCCACTACACTCCATCCTGGTCAACAGAGTAAGACTCTGTCTCAGAAAAAAAAAAATGCTGCTCCCTAAATGCTTGGGGAAACTGATTGAGTAATACAACTCGAGTCTCCCACACAGCTGGCTGAGTGTGAATTACTCTTTCTCTATTGCAATTCCTGTGTCTTGAGAAATCTGCTCTCTCTAGGCAGTGGGCCAGGTGAACCCATTGGGCAGTTACACCATCATCTTCAGGTTTTTTTTTTTTTTTTTTTTTGTAATCATTTTTACAGCCCACAAATGTTAGGAACTTAGCACTTTAGCCAGAACTCCAAAGCTAAGTACATGGGTATTTTGTTGATCAGAGGCCATGGTTGTTTTATTAAATTAACAATCTTAAACTAGTCTTATTTACCAACAATTTACACAAATCATTTGAATTAAAAGGCATTTGAGTTAGTTTCTATTTTTCTGATAAAATACATAATTTAAGTGCTTATTTTTTCTTTTCTTTTTTTTTCGAGATAGAGTCTTACTGTTGCCCAGGCTGGAGTGCAGTGGCTCAATCTCGGCTCACTGCAACCTCTGCCTCTTGGGTTCAAGCAATTCTCCTGCCTCAGCCTCCTGAGTAGCTGGGACTACAGGGGCCCCCCCACCATGCCTGGATAATTTTATATTTTTAGTAGAGATGGGGTTTTACCATATTGTCTAGGCTGGTCTCAAACCCTTGACCTTGTGATCTGCCCACCTCAGCCTCCCAAACTGCTAGGATTACAGGCTTGAGCTACCGTGCCTGGCCTATTTTTTCTGTAACCCAATTAATTAGAGCTTTCATGTATTTTGGTAATGAAATACATCCACATAATATAATAAACAATACACATACAGACACAAGCAGACTCTGTAGCTTAATACATTTCTTCATTTGCCCATTTTTTGTTTCTGTGTGTCTGTGTGTGTGTGTGTGTGTGTGTGTGTGTGTGTGTTTGAGACAGTCTCGCTCTGTTGCCCATGCTAGAGTACAGTGACGCCTTGGCTCACTGCAACCTGGCCTGAATCTCCTGATCTTGTGATCCGCCCACCTCTGCCTCCCAAAAGTGCTGGGATTATAGGTGTGAGCCACCACACCTGGCCATCATTTGCTAGTTTTTAAATACTTTCTCTTTAAACTATCAAGCCCTAAACAATTGTTAGCAACATAATCCTTAATTTACACTTTCAAAGACATGACTCTGAAGTCAAAATTTACAAGCCAAAGGCATAGCACTTAGATCTAGACTAAATACCATTATCTGCTGAGACAAAGAAGGACATGAGTAAAGGGTTCAGTCAAAGCGAGATTGCCAGGAAGCTATCTTCAATAAAGCAAGGTTTGTTATATAAACTGTAAATCAATATTTTCCCCATTTAAGAGTTTTTTTTTTTTTTTGAAACAAGGTCTCTTTCTGTTACCTGGGCTGGAGCTCAGTGATGCAATTTTGGCTCCTTGAAACCTCGAATTTCTGGGCTCAGGTGATCCTCCCACCTCAGCCTCTTGAGTATCTGGAACTAAAGGTGCATGCCACCATTTTATTTTTTATTTATTTATTTTTTGAGATAGTCTCTCTCTGTCACCTGGGCTGGAGTAGAGTGGTGTGATCTCGGCTCACTGCAACTGCTGCCTCCTAAATTCAAGCAATTTTCCTGCCTCAGCCTCCCATGTAGCTGGGATTACAGGTACTCCTCACCACACCCGGCTAATTTTTGTATCTTTACTTGAGAAGGGTTTCACCGTATTGGCCAGGCTGGTCTCAAACTTGTGACCTCAAGTGATCCACCCGCCTTGGCCTCCCAAAGTGCTGGGATTACAGGTGTGAGACGCCACACCCAGCCAAGAGTTTCTAGTGCTTTATGTGCAATGAAGGAGATGCCATGACAAGGTATATTTCCTTTATAGATGTGTATTCTTCAGCAAAGAGTTTCAAATTCACTAAGTAAATGCTAGAAAGTTGTATTTTGGAGACCAATCTCTTTAGATAGACCCCCAAATACCAATCTATTTAGATTGGTATTTATTTCAATATAGCTAGTTTTGGTGGGGCATGGTGGCTCACACTTGTAATTCCAGCACTTTGGGAGGCCAAGGTGGGTATATCACCTGAGGTCAGGAGTTTGAGACCAGGTTGGTCTCTACAAAAAATACAAAAATAAGCCAGGTATGGTGATGAGTCCTTGTAATCCCAGCTACTTGGGAGGCTGAGGCAGGAGAATCACTCAAACCTGGGAGGTGGAGGTTGCAGTGAGCTGAGATCACGCCACTGCACTGTAGCCTGGGCAAAAGGGCAAGACTCCATCTCAAAAACAAAAAAAAACATAGCTTGTTTCTTAATTAGATGAATAACATAGTGGAGCTCTCGAATGAATAGGGCATATAACATATTTGCAGTTTCCATGACCAAATATTTAAATATGTAGAAAGGGCCAGGTGTGGTGGCTCATGCCTATAATCCCAGCCATTTGGGAGGCCAGGGCAGGAGGATTACGTGAGCCTGAGAGTTTGAGACCAGCCTGAGCAAAATAGTGAGACCCTATCTTATTTTGAAATGGGATCTCCCTGTGTTGCCTGGGCTGGAGTGCATGGCGCTATCTTCACTCACTGCAACCTCTCAACTGATCCTTCCACCTCAGCCTCCAGAGTAGCTGGGACTACAGGCGCCCACCACCCCGCCCAGCTAATTTTTGTGTTTTTTTCTAGAGACAGGTTTTGATCATGTTGCCCAGCCTGATCTCAAACCCCTGAGCTCAGGCAATCCTCTCACTTAGGCCTCCCAAAGTGCTGAGATTACAAGCATGAGTCACAACACTGGCCTTAACAAAAAAATTTTTTTTTTGAGATGGAGTTTTGCTCTTGTTGCCCAGGCTGGAGTGCGATCACAGGATCCCAGCTCACTGCAACCTCTGCCTCCCGGGTTCAAGTGATTTTCCTGCCTCAGCCTCTCCAGTAGCTGGGTTTACAGATGCCTGCCACCATGCCCAGCTAATTTTTTTTGTATTTTTAGTAGAGACAGGGTTTCACAATGTTGGCCAGGCTGGTCTCGAACTCCTGACTTCAGGAGACCCATTCGCCTCAGCCTCCCAAAGTGCTGGGATTACAGGTGTGAGCCACTGTGCCTGGCTAAAGACAAAAAATTTTTTTCATAGTGAAAGTAAGTTTATTAAGTAAAGAAATAACAAATGGCTGCCCCATAGACAGAGCAGCTAGCTACATATTTTTAAAAAATATATGTGGAAAGCAAACACAAGCAGAAGCCAGCACAGCTAGCTGACTTCCACTAGTGATAGAGGCAGGAGACAGCCAAGTGCCGTCCAGGTTATTATGCATAGGGGATTTGCCTAAACATGCCCAGGTGAAAAATTCCGTCCCTTAACACGTGCACAGTAAGGAAAATAAATCAATGTAGAGAGGCTTAGTCTAAGGACCCACATGCGCACTGGAAGAATGGGGGGTGGAGCCACCAGGAATTCACGCCTTATGCTGGGGAGGAGCCGGGTCTCTTCAACTTGTGTGGTGGCCTGGTATTCAATTTGTGAGGTGGACACTTGAGTTCAGGACTCTCCTTTTGCTTAATAAATTTCGCCCTCCTCACTTTCTTTTTTTTTTTTTTTTTTTTTTGAGACGGTTTCCAGCTCTGTCGCCCAGGCTGAAGTGCAGGGGCGCGAACTTGACTCACTGCAACCTCCTCCTGCCAGATTCAAGCGATTCTTCCGCCTCAGCCTCCTGAGTAGCTGTGATTACAGGCACGTGCCACCACACCTGGCTAATTTTTTGTATTTTTAGTAGAGACGGGGTTTCACTAATTTGGCCAGGCTGGTCTCAAACCCCTGACCTCAAATGTCCACCTGCCTCAGCCTCCCAAAATGCTGAGATTATAGGCGTGAGCCACTGTGCCTGGCCCCATCCTTACCTTTCAATGTTTCTTTGTGCCCAATTTTTCCAGATTTAGCTGAACCAAGGAACAAAAAATTCTGCATCACTAGGTGTGCTGGCTTCCACTTGTGCCTGCCAGTATTCCACATTTACATTTAATCTTGAGTTCCCAAAGACAGGAACACCAGGAGACCAGGCCACAGGTGCTTCCACAGCACACCTCACTATAAAGACATCCCCCTGAGGCTAGTGGGCAACAACGCAGTGCAAATCAGCCCACTCTGTGATCAGCCCATCTTCCTTCAGAGTCTTATCCGTTGGTAGTGAAGGTTCCCACAACCTCCAGGTGTTCAAACCTGCCTTTTAATCTAAGTGCATAGGCCAAGCGCGGTGGCTCAAGCCTGTAATCCCAGCACTTTGGGAGGCCGAGGCGGGTGGATCACGAGGTCAAGAAATCGAGACCATCCTGGTCAACATGGTGAAACCCCGTCTCTACTAAAAATACAAAAAATTAGCTGGGCATGGTGGCCTGTGCCTGTAATCCCAGCTACTCAGGAGGCTGAGGCAGGAGAATTGCTTGAACCCAGGAGGCGGAGGTTGCGGTGAGCCGAGATCGCGCCATTGCACTCCAGCCTGGGTAACAAGAGCGAAACTCCGTCTCAAAATAATAATAATAATAATCATCATCATCATCATCATCTAAGTGCATAAAAACAAATATCTTCCATGCTTCACGCCTGCAATCTCAGCACTTTTGGAAGCTGAGGTGGGCGGATCACCTGAGGCTGGGAGTTCGAGACCAGCCTGGCCAACATGGAGAAACCCCATCTCTACTAAAAGTACAAAATTAGCCGGGCGTGGTGGCGCATTCCTATAATCCCAGTTTACTCATGAGGCTGAAGCAGGAGAATCACTTGAACCCAGGAGGCGGAGGTTGTGGTGAGCCGAGACTGCTCCACTGCACTCCAGCCTGGACAACAAGAGTGAAACTCTGTCTCAAAAAAGAAAGAAAGAGTGATCAGAGCCGCGCTCGCACGGAGGGTCTGCTGAGTGACCACGGCTGCTCCACCGCGGATGCCGCGCCACGGCGGAAGAGGAGCTGGAGGCGCTGAGGAGGCAGAGGCTGGCAGAGCTACAGGCCAAGCATGGGGATCCTGGGGATGCGGCACAACAGGAAGCAAAGCACAGGGAAGCAGAAATGAGAAACAGTATTTTAGCCCAAGTACTGGATCAGTCAGCCCGGGCCAGGTTAAGTAACTTGGCACTTGTAAAACCTGAAAAAACTAAAGCAGTAGAGAGTTACCTTATACAGATGGCAAGATATGGACAAATAAGTGAGAAGGTATCAGAACAAGGTTTAGTAGAAATCCTTAAAAAAGTAAGCCAGCAAACAGAAAAGACAACAACAGTGAAATTCAACAGGAGAAAGGTAATGGACTCTGATGAAGATGACGATTATTGAACTAAAAGTGCTTACAGACTAGAACTTAACAGAACAATTCTAGGACAGAAGTTAAGATCTGATGATTTACTTTGTTTATTGTCTATAGGCCTTTAAAAAAATAAACTTGTTATGCAAAACAAAAAAAAAGAAAAGGGAGGGAGGGAGGGAGGGAAGGAAGGAAGGAAGGAAACACTTAACAGCACTCTGAAAAATGCACTGAAAAAAAAAAGAAAGAAAAGAAAAAAAGAACAAATAGCCCATCACAATAAGAACCATTCACTCCAACCACTGTCAGACACTTTCCAGGTTTTGCCGCTGACTGATCAGCCACTGCACACACAAAAGTCAAGTTCTCTCTCACAGTACAAAGTAACGCTTGGTACCCCAAAAGCCAAAGATCAGGTTCTACTTTTAATAGCTCTTGACCTGGCACAGTGGCTCATGGCTGTAATTCCAGCACATTGGGAGGCCAGTGTGGGTGGATCACCTGAGGTCATGAGCTCAAGACCAGCCTAGCCAACATGGTGAAACCCCATCTCTACAAAAATACAAAAATTAGCCGGGTATGACAGCAGGTGCCTGTAATCCCTGCTACTCAGGAGGCTGCAACAGGAGAATCACTTGAACCCAGGAGTCAGAGGTTGAAGTGAGCCAAGATTGTGCCATTGCACTCTAGCCTGGGTGACTGAGCAAGACTCTATCTCAAAAAACAAACAAACAAACAAAAACCCCAATGAAAAACAGCGCTTATAATTCATTCGCAACAATTTTGTTTCTTCCATGGCAATATGATTTGCAATTCATGAATTAAATGGATTAGAATTTGAAAAAATTTTGGATGTGAGAGTAATCCAGCACTTTGGGAGGCCAAGGCAGGCGGATCACCTGAGGTGTGGAGTTGAAGACCAGCCTGGCCAACATGGTGAAACCCCATCTCCACAAAAAAATACAAAAATTACCTGGGTGTGTGGTGCGTGTCTGTAGTACCAGATACTTGGGAGGCTGAGGCAGGAGAATCACTTGAACCGAGGAGGCAGAGGTTGCAGTGAGCTGAGATTGTACCACTGTACTCCAGCCTGGGTGACAGAGCAAGACTGGGTCTCAAAAAATAAATAAGTAAATAATAAAAAATAAAATAAAATTCAAAATTATCTGGGCATCCTGAATTTTATCTGACATGCTCTTTCCTCAAATTGCTATATCTATGTCTTTCCTCAATTATATCGTATCATGAAGGCCCTTCCCAGCCATTTCATTTAGTATAGCTCCCCTACCTGCACTTCTCCCATAAATGGTTCTGGCCCTTGCATCAGCTTACAGCGTAGTTTCCTGTTTATTTGCTTAGTGTCTGTCTCCTTCAGTACAGAATGCAATCTTGTGAGGGCAGGATTTTGGTGCTATGTTCATCACTGACTCCAAAATGGCACATAGCAGGCTCTCAGTAGATAGCTATTGAACAAATGGAAGCATAAATAAACAAGTGATGCTACATTTGCTTTCTCCAGTGCTGTGGGAGCAGATCCAGGGAGCAGACAGGAGAGAAGGCTATAGCCCCTGCCCCCTGGTGGAACCAGAAGAATCAATAATTTTCATTTATTTATTCATCTAATGTGCTTTGCACACTCCCTATCTGCCAGGATCAGCTTGTTGCCAGAGATGCTGGGTAAATAATCCCAGAAGGTTCCTGTGATCTGGAGGAGGAAACAGACATTAACCCATAATAGGGAGATAACTTAATTATAGTGGTGAACTGTCAATGGAGGAAAAGCAAAGGAAGAAAAAAAAGTCTGCCTGGCACAGTGGCTCACGCCTGTAATACCAGCACTTTGGGAGGCCAAGGTAGGCAGATCACAAGGTCAAGGGATCAAGACCATCCTGGCCAACACGGTAAAACCCCATCTCTACTAAAATACAAAAATTAACTGTGTGTGGTGGAGCACACCTGTAGTCCCAGGTACTCAGGAGGCTGAGGCAGAAGAATTGCTTAAACCTAAAAGGCAGAGGTTGCAGTGAGCCAAGATTATGCCGCTGCACTCCAGCCTGGCGCCTGGTGGCAGAGCAAGACTCTGTCTCAAAAAAAAAAAAAAATTCTAACCTGGTCTAGGAGTCAGGGAAGACATCCCCAAGGAAGGAACGTGAAGTTGAGACCTGAAGCTGAGCATGAATAACTGGAGGCAGAGCTCTGTGGATGGAGATGTTATTCCAAGCAGGAAGCCCAGTTAATGCAGGTACCTTGAAGGGGGAAAGAGGAGTGGAATGAAGGCCAGGGTGAGGAAAAAGGCCAGGGCACAGGCAGTTACTAGGAACCTTGCAATCTGACTTGTCTCTGGGGAGGAAGGAAGAGCCAGCTCACTGGGCCTTGTGGTTCAGGTGATATACAATTTCTGTGTTTGTCTGTTTTTGCATTGCTATAAAGAAATACCCGAGGCTGAGTAATTTATAAAGAAAAGAGGTTTAATTTGGCTCACAATTTAGTAGGTACCAGGAAGCATGGTGCTGGCATCTGCTCCTGGGAGCTTTCGATCATGGCAGAAGGTGAAGAAGGAGCAGGTGTGCCACATGTGAGTGTGGGACAGACAGAAAGAGAGAGAGAGAGAGAAGAGAGAGGCAGGAGGAGGGGCCAGTCTTCTTTTTCTTCTTCTTCTTTATGCTTTTTTGAGATGGAGTCTCGCTCTGTTGCCCAGGCTGGAGTACAGTGGTGCAATCTTGGCTCACTGAGACCTTCATCTCCTGGGTTCAAGAGATTTCCCTGCCTCAGCCTCCCGAGTAGCTGGGACTATTGGCATGCACCACCATGACCAGCTAATTTTTTGTATTTTAGTAGAGACAGTTTCACCATGTTGGCCAGGATGGTCTCAATCTGCTGACCTTGTGATCCATGCACCTCGGCCTCCCAAAGTGCTGGGATTACAGATGTGAGCCATTGTGTCCACAGTCTTCTTTAAATAGCCAGCAATCATGTGAACTAACAGAATAAGAACTCACCCATCACCACGGGGAGATGGGGAGGACACCAAACCATTCATGAAGGATCTGCTCCCAAGACCCAGACACCTCCCACCAGGCCCGACCTCCAGCACCGAGAATCACATTTCTTTTTTTGTTCGTTTTTAAATTTTTCTTTAAGTTCTGGGATACATGTGCAGAACATGCAGGTTTATAGGTATACAAGTGCCATGGTGGTTTGCTGCACCCAACAATCCATCATCTAGCTTTTAAGCCCCAGTTTCATTAGGTATTTGTCCTATGCTCTCCCTCTTCTTGGCCCCCAACCCCTGACAGGCCCTGGTGTGTGATGTTCCCCTCCCTGTGTCCATGTGTTCTTATTGTTCAACTTCCATTTATGAGTGAGAACATGCAGTGTTTGGTTTTCTATTCCGGTATCAGTTTGCTGAGGATGATGGCTTCCAGCTTCATCCATTTCCTGCCAAGGACATGAACTCATCATTTTTTATGGCTACAGAGTATTACATGTTGTATATGTGCCACGTTTTCTTTATCCAGCCTATCACTGATGGGCATTTGGGTTGGTTCCAAGTCTTTACTATTGTAAATAGTGCTGCCATAAGCATGCATATGCATGTGTCTTTATAGTAGAATGATCGACATTCCTTTGGGTATGTACCCAGTAATGGGAGGGAATCGCACTTCAACATGAGATTTGGAGGGGATACATACCTGAATCACATCACACAGCATACTACCAGCTCCAGCTCCCTCCTCTCCACAGGAATGTGGAATACCCATCATTCCAGGATCAGCTACCTTGAGCCCAGTCCTCTGTAATTCACTGAGATGCTATGAAGCTGCTGGTAGGTGCCACGCCGGGCCACACTCATCCTCCAAGCCAGTGTGGAGTGAGGGCCAGACGGCCAGGAGGCAGGATTGGTTCGGAGACATTGCCTTTCTTCAAACCTCAGTTTCCTCATAAATCAAATAAATGATTGCAGAAGATAAGCTCATACTAATTCCACTTCTAGAAAAGAATCTGTGATCCAAGGAAACAGTAGCATTGACTAATGGAAGGTCCAACTGGCTGTTTCCCTTCAGCGGTAGGTTTACTGTTGCTTTTCCAATTATAAAAGTAGTAAGACTATTTGTAAACTATAGAAAAGTAGAAAATGTTTTTCTCTTTTTTCTTTCTTGTTTTTTAAAAATTTATTTAGAATGAGAAAAATCACTGAGAAAAAAGAAACAAAACAAATTTATCAAGCAAATACCATAAGCATCATAAAACCCAAAGGACATATTTTTATTTACTGCCTGACATGAATCTCCAACATGCCTTTTTCCTACATTTTTTTTTTTTTTTTTTTTTTGAGACAGAGTCTTGCTCCGTTGCCCAGACTGGAATGCAGTGTCATGACTTCGGCTCACTGCAACTTCTGGGATTAAAGGTACCCACCACCACACCTGGCTAGTAGGCTAATATTTTTGTATCTTTAGTAGAGATGGGGTTTCACCAAGTTGACCAGGCTGGTCTCAACTCCTGACCTAAGGTGATCCGCCCTCCTCAGCCTCCCAAAGTGCAGGATTACAGGTGTGAGCCACTGCACCCAGCCTCTTTTTTTCTTGTTTTTTTTTTTGAGACAGTTTCACTGTTGTTGCCCAGGGTCACCACAACCTCTGCCTCCCAGGTTCAAGTGATCCTCCTGTCTCAGCCTCCTAAGTAGCTGGGATTACAGGCATGTGCCATGTTGTCTGGTTAATTTTGTATTTTTAGTAGAGAGGGGATTTCTCCATGTTGGTCGGGCTGGTCTCAAACTCTCTACCTCAGGTGATCCGCCTGCCTCAGTCTCCCAAAGTGCTAGGATTACAGGCTTGAGTCACTGCGCCTGGCAGAAAACATTTCTTGAATGAGATTCTGTTTCCTTCCTTCCTTCCTTCCTTCCTTCCTTCCTTCCTTCCTTCCTTCCTTCCTTCCTTCCTTCCTTTCTTTTTTTGAGATGGAGCTTTGCTGTTGTCGCCCAGGCTGGAGTGCAATGGTGCAATTTCAGCTCACTGCAACCTTCACTTCC